CTTCTAAGTCACATACTTCATGATTAATGTGAGAAGTGAGCAGGTACCTGTCAGTGACCACTCTGTCTCTTCAGCAGACAGGATCCCAGCATATCTGCCTCAGCCTTGATACCATAAAAGACTCGCTCAAGGTACTGCTGCTACTGGTTATAGGCGTGGGCCTCTACCAACTTCTCACCTTAGGCCTCGTTCTTATGAAGGCTGCCAACCTTACATTTTTCATACTCATCACATAGTGTGGTGACACTGGTGTCAGTCCTTCGTCTCTTTTTCAACTACTGCCCTTCAATCTGTTGTGTTTCCAAGCCTAGAATGAGTTGGAGTCTACTCATATACTACTATATGGGAGGGAGAGACACAGGTGCCAGAAGGGCCTACATAAAGGTGCCTACAGATATTGGGAATAAAGTGGGAAAGGTGTATTTATGACAGCTTTGATGGTCTGTGGAAGGAGTTTCTCCAGGTGTTGGGATCCTTTGTGTTATACCCTGGCTGCCTAAGGTGGTCAAAAGGAAGAGATTCTTCCAGAGTAGTTGGCTAAGCATCTAAAGTGTTTTAAAAGAGTCTTATGGAGAAAAGGCAGAGGGCCATGCTTTTGTGCTCAGACCTTGTTCCCTCAGGATTTAAAAATCACTGCCCCCCAGTTCCAGAGGAAATTATCTCCATGGTGATGGCAAACAATCCCTGGCCCCACCCACTGGCCATCTCCCAGGCCCCAAGACCCATACCCAAGCACCCAACAAAGGGGTCTGCTCAGCTCGGTCCTGGCCTGTCCTGGTGCTCCTCTTGGGAGTGGTCAGGGGATGTCTTCATTTGGTAGGACCCAGAGCCAAGCGAAGCAGATGCTTCCCATCATACACAGTGGGGACACTTGGCAGATATGTCCACAGTGGTGGTGAGGAGGGTCCCATAGCCATTTTTGAGCCTGATAGGGAGAGACAGGATTACAAAAAGGAACTGAACCACACATCCTGATGGAAGTTGGATTGGCTCATTGGGAGCCCAAGTGGAAGCCAGTGGTAAGGTTCTGACCTGACGAATGTCTGAGGGACACTGTCACCCCATAGTCCAAGGCCTGATTTCTTCAGATGGCCAAGGCCACAGGCAGCATGTTGAGTCTTGGACATGAAGTAACTCCCTCTGCCAGCGCTCATCAAGAATATGTTAGTTGGCATGACGTGAAACATTATTGTCCTTATGTGACTATACCTTCTTGAAACCTACTGTATGTAGTCCATGAAAGCCATTGACAGGCAGTTACAGAGGAAGAATGACCTTGTTTTGTGTTTGTGTGTTGCAGGCTTATTGAGAAAATAACAACTGTATAACCACATCCTGACTCTGAGCAGGTTGGCAGGCTTGGGCCCTTTTACCCAGGGGATGGGGAAAAATGCTATTCTAAGTGAAACATTTCTTGCTTAGTGTGGGAATTGGTTCAGTGCCTGTTAATGAATAGACTGTTTAGCAGGAGAGGGTCCCAGTAGATCTACCTCAGCCTTGAAACCTTAGAAGACCCACTTCAGGACCCTGCTATTGTGTGGGACCCTGCTATTGTGTGGGACCCTGCTACTGTGGGTCACCATGCTGTCTTAAGTATTGCTTTCTCTTTCAACTTCTGTTTGTCAGTCTGCTTTTCCTCCAAACTTGTAATGAGTTGGAGTCTATGGGAGTATATGGAAGGGAGAGATGCAGGCAAGGTGTGATCAAAGAGCTCTGCATTGCAGCTCTTGTAGACATGTCTCTGGCCCATATGCTGGCTCTGTATTCACCTGTGTCTTTGTTGTTGTCAACTCCACTCTACCTGGAACCTGACTCCTGTGCAATGCTAACTTATAATGGGTGCTGGTTAGACTGTTGCATTCTTTGGGAGTTCATTGGCTGATTTTCATAAATAGATAGCCAGGCCTTTCTTCCTAGTTTCTTTTATTTTGGAAGTGCCTCTGGAATCTTCCACATCACACAAGCTCCAGTGACAGACAAGTGGTGGCTGGGCATGAAGTGTCATGTCTGGTTGTCAAACTTGCTTCTCCAGTATGTTGATGTTGTTTGGTCAGTCAAGTATGACTCACAGTGACCCTATGAATAATACATCTGAACCCTACCCTATCCTGTGCCATTTTCATCATCTCTGACATACTTGAGCCCATTGCTGCTATCATGTGTCAATTTATCTCAGTTGAGTGTCTTCCTCTCCTTCTCTGACCCTCTACCTACCCAAGCATGAAGTTCTTCTCCAAGGAATAACCTCTCCTAACAACAAACTATGTGAGATGAAGGTTTGTCTTCCTTGCCTCCCAGGTGCATACTGACTGCACTTTCTGTAAGACATATCTGTTCATTCTTTTGGCAGCCCACGGGATATCCAGTACCCTTCTCTAAAACCACAACTCAAAGGAATTGTTTCTTCTATCCTTATTCGTTGTCCAGATCAATAATAGGTGATTGAAAAAAATCCATAGCCTGGATCAGGTACACCTTAGTCTTTAAGCTTACATCATTGCTCCTTGGTTTTTAGGACAGGCCCTTAACAGGAGATTTTCCCAGTGTAACACATCTTTTCATTTCTTGACGGCTGGTACTAAGGATTGCTGATTGATTCAAGTAAAATGAAATTGTTATCAATGTCAGTCTTTTCTCCATCTATCATGGTGATTGATGCCCCTTGGCCCAGTGGTAAGGATAAACAAAGATGTAACAGCACAGAACTTTAATAGTAACAAAAACATAAAAGATAAAACAAATGCTGAAAAAAAATTATCTGGATCTTGATGAAAATAGCTGGTCTGTCACATTTCTGGAAGCCAGGGGGGTTTGAGCACAGCTCTTTGTTTCTCCATCTCATTCTTCACAAAGGGTCCTTGGTCCATAACACCAGAAGCTGGGGACAGTGGTTGCCACCGAGAAAGGCATTAAGAGCTATTTTAAAATATTATTTCACTCTACAGCAACAATGCACACGGGGCTACTGCAACCAAACCATGTACCAGCTACAAACGCAAACTTTTTATAGGATCACGGGCAAAAGCTTTGCAGTGCCATGGACCTGTATTAAAAAAAGACAGAAGGATGCCATTCAGTGCAAGTTCTATGCCTGGGCACCTTGGGCATGTCTGCCTATCCCCCATGCCTGCTCCTTGCCCATGTGTGGCAGCACAGAGGGCTCTTCTAATGGCTCTCCCTGCCCAACCAGCCCCCTTGCACAGGAGCCCAGGCTGGGTACATGTTCTCTCATAGATCCTGACAGTGATAGGAGAGCAGGCTGGGCAGGCTGGGGCACTGCAGAGGCCTAGAGAACAGACAGAGCACTGTAGCAATCCCCAAAATAGCTAAAACTCTTTGTTGTAGGTCATGTGGATAATTAGTGTGAGAAAAATACAAAAGTCCCATAGGTTCAGTTTTGCCTAAGCACTTGAGAGAGATTAGAACCATGAGAGAAAGGGGATCTGATATGGAAATTCTCCCTTGAAAACCTCAAATCTCAATCTCTCTTCCCCACCCCCTGCCCTTTTTCTTCCTTCCCTGTCTCTAATTTTGCTTATAATGACTGAACTAGCTTGACATATTCAAAAGCTTCCTCCAGTTGCGCAAACAGTTAAGTGTTCCACTACAAACAGAAAGGATAGTTCAAATTTCTACCTCACAGAAGAGCCTCTGAACAAAGGCCCAGTGATCTACTTCTGAAAATATCAGTCATTGAAAGCCTGCAGGAGCATAGTTCTGCTCTGACCCAATAGGAGCCCCTGTGAGTCAAACTTGACTGCATGGCAACTGCTTTATTGGTGTTGCTTTTTCCTTGCTACTGTTCTAACCTTGCTGTTAAGTTCTATAAAGTCAACTCTGACTCACAGTGACCCTATGGAATGGAGTAGAAATGCCCCTGAAGGTTTCTAGGCTGATGGCAATAGTCCACAGGGGGCTTTGCTACTAACCCAGTGGCTTTGCCTCTCTGGTGGTTCGAATTCACCAGCAGCTCATTGGAAGAAAGATGGGCACTCCCCTTCCGTATATTTTGCAGCCTCAGAAAACCCACTGGAGGGTCAATGGTGATGAGTTTGAAGTGTTTTCTTTTTTCCCCAAGTCTTAATGGGAGTGGATTATCAAGTTTCCTATGAAGATGGTAGATGGTTTTGAACTGTCAATCTTTAGGTCAGTGCTCAAGTACTTAACCACTGCACTACCAAGACTCCTTGATTTAACTTTAAGATCAGACTTAAACATGCAGATTGCCAAACAAACACTGCCTGGTAGTACCAAGGTCTTGAGAGCCTTCTTCACAGCCTACTCACTGGCTTCCATCAGCTTGGCCTGTCCAGCTGCCTTGCCTACCCTTCCTAGTTCCTGTCATCCGAGTGGCTGTGATTTAGTGACCCAATCAGAGAGGCCTGGAAGCTGAGCACATGCCAGTGGTGAGGCTGAGCAAAGGCACCCTCATGCTAAGATCCTCTGCTGCGTTAAAGTCTCACTGTTTGATCTGTTCATCCTTTTTCTCCATCAGCTTCAACCTCCCCTTCCCCTACTCTACTTCCTGCCCTAGGCATGTCTTTTTCTTCCTCCCCTTTAATCTACCAAATGAGAACAAATAAACAATCCATAAAAATACAGCTTCTGAGGAAGCTCCATGTGCTTAAGTATATCAGGCAGACAGTTTCACTCTTCTATTCATATCCATGACTTAATGGCATGTCTCTTCCCAGCTTTTGCCCAGTTTTGATGACCCTTATGGTGCCAAGTCCTCACCACTAACCAGTGTGAAAACAGTGGGCCCGTTCTGGCATGGTTACAGTGTCAGAATTGTGTTTGTTACTTACAGGAGAGCTAACAGGGTTTTGTGCCCCCACTCAGAGTAACTGGGGCAATGGGGGTAGTTGTGTCGAAGTCAGTGAGACTGGCTTAACACAGTGTAGGCTTCAGTCATACACAGGGTCGCTATGAGTCGTAGGTGACTCAACGGCACATAACAACACCATCACCAACAACAACTACAGGGTCACTCACCAACTTCAGAAGGGACGTCGAGCGTACTTCCGGCGGTACATCTCATCCACTCGCTCTAGGTACCAAGTGCCTGGGAACAGGCTGTTTGTGTCACCAGGGGGTGAGAAGTTCACTGTGGAGTGAAAGGAAGAGATGATACTCAAACAGAGACACATGATAGAAGAGAAAACCAGCAAGCTCTCCAGGCTGTATTGACGGTGGCTATCAAGGTGGTTCATCTTCCAAAACCCTGGACCAGCATTAGCCACCTCCTTGGGTCTGACACTTAAGCCGTGGCTCCTAACATCTTTATTCTAGGAGTGTGACATTTTCCCACCGTAAACACCTCCTTTCTCCACGGAAATCTTCATCACATACTTTTGTCCATGACACTTTGGCTGAGGAAGACCACAGAACTCCAGGTCCACAGTAGATAGTTCCTTATTTGCCCTCAGCTCTCTGCCTGGATTTCACTGTAGCATCCATAAATGCTCACCTCAAAGATCTTTTACTTTAAAATGTAAATGCTATTATAATACATGGATAATAAAATATTCACCATACCATAGACTGCCAACAAAACTAAAAGATCTGTCCTGGAGAGGGTGAAACCAAGCTGTTCCTTGGAGGCCAAGGATTTTGAGACACCATCTTTCCTATTTTGGATGTGTAACCAGGAGGGACCAGTCTTTGAAGAAGGATGTCATGCTTGGAAGGGTTGAGGGACAGCACAGGAAAGGAAGACCTCAAATGAGAGGGGTTGATTCAGTGACTGGGGTAATGAGGGTAGGTGTGTCAGAGACAGTGAGATTGTCTCAGGATAGAACAGAGTTCAGACTTAGTGTACTTAGGATCACTATGAGATATAGTAGACTTGATGGCACATAACAACAACATCCATTTTAAGTGTGTAATTCAGTGACAATAATTACATTCTGATGGCCTTGTGGTAAGAAGTAGCACTGAAATCCCAAAGGTAAAGGGTTCAAATCCACCAGCTGTTCCATGGGACAAGGATGAGCAATCTCCTTCCAAATAATAAACTGCCTCTGAATACCTGCTGGAGGTTTAGCTATGGGTTGGCACCAGCTCAACACCACACAACATGTTGGGATAACAAAAAAATGTGTTTTATTATCCAAACAGAAACTCAGTATGTCTTAAGTAAAAACTGTTTCTGCCCTCCTCCTCAGCTCCTGGTAACCACCAGCAAACTTCTGTCTCTATGCATCAGCCTCTATTTCATGTGTGAAATGTAGTTCAGTATTTGTCCTTTTGTGCCTCTTTTACTACTCTTAGCACAATGTTTTCAGGATTAATCCTTGTCATACAATGTATTGAGATTTCATTTCCTTTTATGCTAACTACTATTGTATTTTATGGGTATACCACATTCTGTTTGTCTGTTCATCCTGATGAAAATGTGGCTTCCTTCTAAATGTTCTAAAATTACTTTCCCAGTTAATGCTATCTTGTTGTAGATCAATCAGTAACCAAATAGGTGTAGGTTTTCTAGACCATTGGCACATTCCCAATTTTATATGTTCCATCTTCTAAGACCATATTGCAAACCAGATGTCTCTAGTTTTGCTGGAGAAAATATCATTATCATAGTTTTGAAGCCACCATCCAGTCTCATTATTTCTTTGGCTTTTGCTTTCTTTTCACTTATTTTTTGGCAGTCTGACTGTTCTGTCTGTTGGAGAAAGAGGGCAGTGGAGAATAAACAGTAGTATTTTTTGTTAACATTTATCTACACTAGTTGGTTTAATATGCTTCCCAACCATGTGAAATTAGTATTCTGTTAGAAATGAGGTAACAGAGAACAGTGTGGTCATTTCCCCAAAGGTAAGCAACTGGTCAGTGGCCCAGCTCAGGGTCAGATGTGGACACCTCGTCCTGACACCTGAGCTCTTTCCACTGCTGCACAGATGGGTTCTTTCACACACTAAACTTCTGGCTTCTGTGGTATTACATTCTTTAGTTCCCTGACTTGGACAGCTTGCTATATTTTGAACTGGGAAAAGTATGTCTCTTACCTGTTCCCAGCTCTCTGCCTGTGCTTCCCTGCCCAGGACTTGACCCATTGGATCAAGCAGATCATTCCCCAGTCATAGTTCATAGACATCCAGACGAAGGTCAAGTGTATTCTAGAGTTTTTGATCCCTGGCTCTCAGCTAGTTGTTATTAGCTATTGTTGGTCCCAGATTTGTGGCAACCCCAAATCATCTAAGAACAAAATGCTGCCTGGTGCTGTGCCACACTTATGCTCAGATGTTGGTCAGGCTGGTTTTCAGAAGTAAATTGCCAGGCATTTCCCCTAGTCCATCCTACTCTAGAAGCTCTCCTGATATCTATTCAGTATCATAGCAGCTTGCAAGCCTCCTGTGACAGACAGGAGGTAGCTGCATATAAGGTTCCTGGGCCCAGAATAGAGCCCATGCCTCCTGCATGGCAGATGAGAATTCTACCCTTGAATCACCACTGTCCTTTGGCTCCCAGTCCTTTGGCATGAAACTGGAGATGAAGTGTTCACCTCTCATTCTGCTCCTTTTCTTACTTTTTCGGTAGAAATGTTCTCTCTGGTCCATTACTTCTGTGAACTCCTCAGCAGATGCACGCTTCCTGGAGGCTAGGCGGTCCGGCAGGTTTGCTACACTGGCCACCAGCTTCTCAAGTGGGGAGCCTAAGAAGGAAAAGTGTAATGTTCATTAAACCTGCTTTACTGTCACCACCAACCACCAACAGCCAGTCTCTGTGAGAGTTCTCACATCCTGCAGAAAGTGCTTTGTGTGTGGCTTAGAGTAAGTATCAAGAAATGATAAAGAGCAAGAAATGTTATGTTAGTAAACAATTCAGGCAGACTCACTCACGTGAAAAACTAAACCTACTGTTATTGTTATGTGCTGTCAAGTCATCTGCAACTCATAGCAATCCTATGTACAACAGCTCTGAACCCAGCTCTATCCTGAGGCAACCTTATTGTCTCTGACACATCCACTCTCATTACCCCACTCACTGTATCAATCCATGTTGTTTGTTGTTGTTATGTG